TCTATCTATCTATCTATCTATCTATCTATCTATCTATCTATCTATCTATCTATCTATCATCTGTCTGTCTGTATATATATAAAAATATCTATAAATATCCTCTCTCTTTCTTCCAGAACAAAATCTACATGTACGGAGGCAAGGTAGACGAGAGCGGCAACGTAACCAGTCAGCTCTGGCTGTTCCACATCTCCAACCATTCCTGGGTTCCCCTGGTGCCAAAGGCCAAGGAGCAGTACGCTGTGGTGGGCCACTCGGCCCACATTGTCACCCTGGAAGACGGCGCGGTGGTGATGCTGGTCCTCTTTGGCCACTGCCCTCTTTACGGCTACATCAGCAGCGTGCAGGAGTATAATCTAGGTGAGCGTTGGCTTGGCGTGACTGTCGCTCTTGTAAAGAACGGAACAACAACAGAGGTGGAAGGGACCTTGGAGGTCTTCTAGTCCAACCCCCTGCTCAGGCAGGAAACCCTATACCATTCCAGACAAATGGCTGTCCAGCCTCTTCTTGAAAACTTCCAGTGTTGGAGCATTCACCACTTCTGGAGGCAGGTTGTTCCACTGGTTAATTGTTCTAACTGTCAGGAAGTTTCACCTTAGTTCCAGGTTGCTTCTCTCCTTGATGGGTTTCCATCTGTTGCTTCTTGTCCTGCCTTCAGGCGCTTTGGAGAATAGCTTGACTCCCTCTTCTTTGGGGCAGCCCCTGAGATATTGGAAGACTGCTATCCTGTCCCCCCTCATCCTTCTCTTCATTAAACTAGACATTCCCAATTCCAGCAGCCGTTCCTTATATGCTTTAGCCTCCAGTCCCCTGATCATCTTTGTTGCTCTTCTCTGCACTCTTTCTAGAGTCTCAGCATCTTTTTTACATCGTGGTGACCAAAACTGGATGCAGGATTCCAAGTGTGGCCTTACCAAGGCCTTGTAAAGTGGTATTTAACACTTCATTTGATCTTGATCCTATTCCTCTGTCAATGCAGCCTAGCACTGTGTTGTGGCCTTTTTGGCACCTGCAGCACACGGCTGGCTCCTATTTTAACTTTAAATCGTTGTGAAATGCTACACTTCAAAGTAACAGAGAAGGTTGCTTCTCTCCTTGATTGGTTTCCATCCGCTGTTGCTTGTCTTGCCTTGTGGTGCTTTGGAGAAGAGGTTGAACCCCTGGGATAGCCCCCCAAGTACTGGAAGGCAGCTATCATGTCACCCCTAGTTCTTTTCTTTGTTAGGCAGAATAACAGAGTTAGAAAAGACCCTCAAGGGGTTCTAGTCCAACCTCCTGCTCAAGCAGGAGACACCATTTCAGACAGGTGGCTATCCAGTTTTTTCTTTAAAATCTCTAGTGATGAAGAGCCTGCAATTTCTGGAGGCAAGCTGTTCCACTGGTTAATTGTTGTCACTTTCAAGTTCTCCTCCACCACCACCACCTCCTCCTCCCCCTTCTCCTCCTCCTCCTCTCTGCAAACCCCACACCCTTCTAGCACTGATTGTGTTAGCTAGTTAGGTGATGAAATGTCTGCAAGAAAACCATCCAGTTCAGAGACCACCAAGGACCCCACAACTCTCCTCCTCCTCCTCATCGTCCTCCTCCTCCTCCTCCTCCTCCTCCC